GTGATCGCAATTTGGAAACGAATAAAAAATGAAATCAACGTTAACTTATCTATTCCAAATTGCGATCGCTGATGTGTTAATTGGCCTAATTTTTGACCGCAATTAGGACGTAGCCATATTGAATAGTGTCTTTCAAATTTTTAACACAATACAAATGATTAAGAAGTGTATTATTACGATGTATAATTATAAAAAAGCGGCAACTATTAAAGATATGTTCATTTAGATTTTATGTTATCTATTGAATATCTTGACTACCTACAATTCAAAACACACGTGTTTTTCATCTTGTTTTAACCTTGTCATGCTGTTTTACCTTTTCGAGAATGATTGTATTTGTTGATTTCTTTCAGTCTTACTCACAGTTGTAATAGAAAACGTAAAAAAAAAACGAACTTTTTTTTTTATTCTGTTTTTAAATATACTTGTGATTTTTTTTTCCTATTAGTCAAATGCAAAAATGATAAAACCATGGAGAAATTTAATTTTCTTTTTTGCTTTGGTCAATTCTGTTCTGATTTTTGTGTGAGATGTTTATTGCTTTCGTTTTAACAACAGATTATGTTATATATTGCATTCAAGATGAATAATTTCAGAATAGTATTATTGTTTTGTAATTACAATGTAACAGAGTAACAATTTTTTGATTTTTACAACTAATTGATCATCAAAAAATAAAAGATACAATGTAAATTTTAACTGTATTTTATATTACAAATCATAGTGAGTAATGAAAATTTTAAAGATATTTTGATTACATTTGCACATTTTAATAAACACTACATCAATATATATTTCAAAATGAAATGTTTAATGATGCATAATCATTACTAAATAATTGATTTTTTTTCGATGTAAACTACAAGCATTAAGATATTTATTGCATATGATCATAGACAGTTATATACCCTGTGATTTATTCGACACATAAATTATATTAAAAGACAATCTATTTAATACAAGCGTAATAAAAACGAAAAAAAAGAATAAGACGAAAAAAATGAGTAACGAAGAGTTTTATGAGGTTATTTTTAACTGAAAATATACCAAAATGAATAATCATCTTCTGCGATAAGAAAAAAAAACATTTTATAAAATATTATTTATATCTTAACTCGAGGAGGAAGATTTATAAATAAATAATGATTAATACAGAGTGAATCAAAGGAACACTTTCTTTTTGCATTCTGTATGACAAAGCAAAAAAAAAAATTCGTTTGATACTTTTTCTTTCCAACATTTTGTTTCTTCTGGCTAGGTAATGAGTCAGCCAACTTGCATATCTAAAACAATATTTTTTCGACTTTTATAATGATTTACACTATATAAATACATTTAGTTAATAATACCTTACAGTATTCATTTAAATATTTTTTTAAAGTATGAATGCGCCTGAAACATAACGAGTGAGTGTATTCATCTACAACTGAGATTCAACATTTACTATACATCCAGATATAATTGGAACTATTAGTTTTCCATACATCTTGATATGGTTAAATGTTTCATCTTAAGTGATTATATTCCAAAGGATCATGATATAATTATGTGAAAGATGAGAGTACATGTGATATATTATTTCTCGAGTTCGCTTGCTTAAATGTCTATATGTTTGTTCTCTTGTACGTATTACTATCTTTTTTTTTTACAATGAAATAAGAAGAATATGTTGTTTTCTCTTCTTTTTATAAATACTCAGCTTTTCGTTTTCATAATACAAATTCATAAATCTAAACTGTAAGAACTCAGATTCATTTCAGCTTTTCTTGGGATGTGTTATATGTTATTGAAAGTTACATATAATGAACTTAATAAATTAAATAAATTAGAAAAAAATTTCACTAAAGTATCTATTCATACTTTTGTGTTCTGTAATATTTTAACAGTCGATTATTTGTATATGAAGGCTGTCCTGTAGAAATCTATTCTAGATTTCGTAGAATTAATGACTCAAATATATAACATGTTCAAAAAGTTCGAACGAAAAAAAATCCATCATGAATAACTCCTCAGTAATTCAAGAGATTTAAATAGTTGAATCATATATTCATTAAAGTTTTCAGATGAAGTGTCTATGTCTATAGAAGTCACAATTAAACTTAAATGAATATTTAAATCTGTTGAATTGTTGAGGAGCTATCCACATTTGTTTTTTTTTCATCCGGACTTTTTAAAAACTATGTATATTATTTTTCTCACATATCTCTTCTTTTATTTTATAATATCATAGATTATGTTATATAGTTTGATAATAAAAATTTTCATATCTTTTATATTTATTCCAGAAATTTTAATTGAATAATTTTTTTGAAAATGAAAGAAAGAAAACAACCAGGAGAGTTCAATTCACATGATTCAAGTACCGATATATTCGATGATTATGACGAATCGCCTGAACTCGATCGTATTCAAAGTCAAATGAGGTAAATTTTATTTTTACAAATAATTCTATGTAATATTCATTATTTTATTTATTTCAAAGGTATGCTGGTTTATGTCTAGATTGTCAACAGATATTATCAGATATGCTAGTAAAAATCTATTAATTGTTTCTTACATGATGTATGTTTTTTTATTTTAGAAGGCTGAAGAATTTCACATGCTATGTACATTATGCGGTTGGAATAGTCATTTTGGAAACTATGAGGTAACTATCAAAAGAAGTCCCGCTATCGAGTAAAAAACGCATAAACTTCAATTCTTTTGCCTGATATTTTGACTACAAATAGAGTTCGGTAAACTCTGATTGCAAGTAACAATCCGAGGTTGATAGATCTTGATGCAAACACTGATTTCTTCCCTATGACATAAAAAAAAAGGCTTTTTCGATACTTCTTTGATTTTTCACTATCATTCACGTTTTCTCAATAACAAGTAAAGATTTGCATGTATATATTTGGTTACAGATAGGGTACTTCAATTCGTTGTAATCTTAATGATTTCAACTTAAATTATTATTTATTGATTATTCTTTTTTTTTGAAGGACCATCCAAACCGTTGTAATCAAAGATGGATATGTAATTGTTGTAATATACCTTTATTATCTTCTTGTATTTCTCAAGAATCGGTATCAATACTTCAATTTAATAATACAAAAACAATAATTCAATTATTATCGTTTTAGGTCATGCCGGAAAGTTCAAATAGAACGAGATTTTTACTACGTTTTTCAGCACGTCGTTACCCTGATGTATCTAAGAATACCAATGCTTTTTGTCAGACAATAAATGAAAAAATGAAACATGTTGATGATAATTTTATTGTTCAGAACAATACATTGCGATACCTAAGTCAAGAATGTTCATTATTAAAAATTAATTGTGAACAAACAAATGCTTGTATAAAAAGAATTAAATCTAATCAAGATAAATTTGAAAAACTACTTCAGGAAACCAAACAACTAGTTGAAGATATGCATTATATAAGTTATAATGGCGAACTTCTATGGAGAATTGAAGGTTTTACTCAAAAATTTGGTGAGTAATGACTTTCATAAATAAATTATTACTTGAGAATTTTTTCTCTTTTTGTCAATTTTAGCTGAAGCTCAATCTGGAAAACAAATGTCAATTGTATCACCAATATTGTATTCATCACGAAATGGTTATAAAATGCGTGCTTGTTTATTTTTAAATGGAGATGATGATGCACAAGGTACACATATGTCTATATATATCGTTCTTTTGAAAGGAGAATATGATGCTATTCTTCCATGGCCATTTAATATTCCCATGATATTTTGTCTGTTTGATCAAACTGGCCACAATCACAATATCATTGATAAATTTTGCCCTGATACAACATCAAATAGTTTTCAAAGACCAATTTCAGAAAAGAACATTGCTAGTGGTATACAAAAATATTGTCCATTGGCAATTATTAAAAAACGAATGAATAGTTATGTTCAAAATGATGAAATGTTTATTAAAATTATAGTTGATTTTCATGATACACCTAGACAACTTTTACCAGAGATATTGAAACTTAATCCTGGATTTCCGGAATATGTGCAAGAAGATAAAAAACATACCGAAAGGAACTTATATAAACAAGTTCGAGAAGCACTTGAGGCAGTAAAAAGACGAAGTAATCAAGAAGTATTACAATATGGCTTAGTTCCTACGTATTCATCAAGACTGTCAAGTACAAGACAGCAACAACAAACTTCAACAACAAACTTCCATGGTACACCATGTGAAGATACATCAGATGAATGAATACAATAGGAAAAAATAAAGTAAAATAGACTTCCATTCCATCTATATGAATTTATCATAGTTATTGACATTTATACAAATCAATTTTATTTTATTTTATGAATATGTAATTTTATTCAAGTATTGATTTGCAGCAACTAGTTGCTATAATAAAATTCAAATCATATTAATATGTGTTTAAATTTAAACATCACACTCATAGAAAATAAAAATCTATTCTTAACAGAGATTTAATGTCACAAATGTATCAGTCATCAATTTGATGACAAAGATGATTTCGAAAAATATTTGTTTTAAAAATGGATAAAGTCACCATACTCATTTCGATTTATGATGATTAATTAGAAATAGGAACTATGGATTTTCTCGAGTATGAGAAAAATATGAATATCTCATATTTGAATTCGGATTGAAGTAAGAATAATGAAGACTTGTGTGCGAATACGAAAATCGATTGCTTAACAACGATTTACGATTATTAATATCTCGATTATCATCTCGAGTTCTGACGTTTTGTTCTAAAAATGTGAGTATTTTATTGATTTTCTGGTCTCGTTGTACTTCATTTGCTTGCATTTCTTTAATTTTCATCAAACAACTTCTCATATCTTTCTGATAAGCTTGCATTTCATAGCTAAGCAAACGTTCATGTTCGAGAAGTTTAGCATTTTCATATAAATAATTGGGTGGTGCTTTTTGACGACCTTTAAGTGAACGAAAGAAATTATCATTACATTCATCGATGAAATCGAGTGTGAGCAAAAAATGAGCATGAGCATGACAATTAATCGCATATTTTTCCCTTGAAGAAGCTGATTCCCATTGACCAAAATTGATTGCAATAGCATCGACTGGCCATTTCACATCATCGGAATTTTTCTTCTCACAAAGTTCTTTATAAAGAAATCGACATGTATAGATAGCCGTAGTCCAGAATAGAGGTAAACAGACAAGTTCACGATTAACAATATGCCACGATGGAGAAGGATGCAAGAGAAGATCACGTACATGCTCTTTTTTGTTTGTAAAAATAAAGCTTTGATTGTCATCGATAAGTTTTAGCTGATAGTTTTGCTGCGCTGGAAGATCATCATTTATAACTACAATAAATTTACATCAGTAAATCTTATGTTTCTTATACCTACACCCACACACTCAAGAAAACCAATATTGACACCCAAATGAATGACCTTTCAAGGATATTTTTTCAATTTCAAAAAACAGTTCAGAAAATGTCGACAGAAGTCCATTTGAGTCTCTTAAGCCCGGCTGTTTGATTCTCATTGTTCTTTTGAATGTATATTAAATTCTCATGAGTGACTCCATCGGATTTCTACTATGTAGTGGAGAAAATATATCTACAATTTAAATATAGCGGATCGATTTTTCACGGTTTCCGACTCCTACAACCTGTAACCTGATGTAGGAAGTGGACGATGTTCGTGAATGATGACTATTTAACCTAGCAAAATTTCTGTATATTAGTAGTCAATAGATACGATTCATTAAATTATTCTGTTTTTCACCAGACTTGACAAAAGAAAACAAAAAATCTGATGTTTTGTTCACAACGAAAATGTGTTAGTAAAATGCATTAGGAGTGTTTCTGAATAAATTCACGAACATCGACATATAATGGAGTAAGATCAAATTCAAGACTTAAGAGCTGAAGTTTTGATACAAATTTGCCTCTCACTCAGCATTTTTTTTCTTACCTGCAGATATAGGCCATTTCATAACGACAGTTTCATCGAAAATACGAAGACCACACACACCACCTTGATTTTCTCGTCCTGCCACTTTCTGCATGCAGTAGAGTGGAGATTGAGCATAGTTGCCATTCGAGGCTAATGGAGTTTGTTTTGGAGCATTCAAATATTCTTCACGTACAAAATTTTTATACTTGTCAACATAATTACGAGCAACAACAAGAAATTCTCTTTGGACATCGTACGAGAATGATGCATCGGTCCACTTCGAGTCAAACCAGGCCACTGGATCCAAGTTTATGCGTAGTTCCCAATGGTTATTGTTGAAAGTTCCAGTAGCACCGTTATAAAAGGAGACAGGCATAAATTCAAGTCGAAATTTCTTGTCGAATCGAAAGCCAGTAGCTTTGCAAAGATTTTCAATTTTGTCGAGCATTGCTTTGGCTAAACTAGCTAAGCGGTGGCTCATTTCTTCGACATCTGCAGCGTAGTTGGTAATATCGAAATGATGATCTTTGTCACTGGTGCCTACTAATACTGGTTCTGTTGGTAATAATTTGACGTCTACTTCGTTGCAATTGGATTTGTTTACAACCTTTGCCAAATTGACCATAGGTCCCTTTCAAATGAGACGATAAGAAAAATGCTAATCACATTGAAGTTAATCGTAATTTTCAATACAATTTCAATAGAGATTGTGCTAAGGCTGATGATATGTCATTTCAAGTTATGTTATGACTTTCGATCTAATATGTGGCTCAGAAGCAGACCTCTATAAAATGTTACAAGCTGCGGAAAGATTTTCTTTTAAATATCGCTTTGCTTTTTGAAGTACTACTATTAATTCAAGAACGAACAGAAGTGCAGAGCTGCGGTTTTCATCAGTCGAAAGAAGAAGCATTGGGACGTCTTTTCCTTCAATATTATATAAGATGAAATCATAGTTTAAGATATAATTCGAATGATTATCTTCACACATCCTAATGTTAAGCCAATAAAATTGTTTCTTTAGATCATCGAAAAATATGAATTTTTCTTAATTTTTGTCAAAATTTGATCTGAACGACTGATCATTTTTGTACGTTTTTTCCATGTTTTATAAAAATGGTTGATTTTATAATGATTTCATCTTATATAATATTGAAGAAAAAGACCTCTTGATGTCTCTTCTTTCGACTGATGAAAACCGTAGTATAGAATAAGATGATTGTCTAGACCTTGGCTCTTACAAAATCGAAATCTTACTGAATTCTTTCATAATATCTCATAGTCCTTCTCACATTACTTTGAAAGTTCACTTTTGATTTCTGATCTGAAGTTGTGCGCAACTAAAGTTCTCATTAAGGCCAATTTAGTGTGGAAATTTTAGATTGATTAACTTGCATCTATCGTAACGTATGTATATTGACACTGTTATTATGTGAATAAACAACTATTGTGCTTAAATTCGTATTTTATGATAGAAACAATTGCAAACTCTGCAGCTGCTATCCTGAATAAATATCAATGAGAACTTTCGTTATGAAAAATTCCACATCGAAAATTGAAAGTTTAATTTTGAGGTAATTTGAAGAGGATTACAGGATATCAGAGGGAAAAATTAGCAAGAATTATATTTTGCTAGAGCAAATATCTGGAAAAAAAACATCATTCGAGATTTTTTTCATCATTTACTTACATGCATAGAGTGTATATTTTGGCGATCCAAAACCGATTTAGCACTTCTAGACGTCCGTTCATAGTCATCAATCTTTGTCGATTAATAAAAAAAAACTATAAGTTAGAAAGGGTCTATGAATTGTGATGATGATCCACTCTATCAAACAGTAGCCTAAAATTTGTTTGAGAAGATCCATCTGATTCGACAAAAAGCATTTGATTGTTCATTAGCAATGTTTAATAAACATCTCCAGTCATAAAGTTGTAAAACAGTCGCACATAGTGACTGCATCTCAAATTAAAAACTTTGAAAGAGAATCTAGACTGCAGTTAAATACATAACCACAGTAACTTTAGCTCTCCGTATCATTTCAATCTAAATCTTGAAAGTCAATTTTTTTTTGCTGCTATGTACTCTAACATTTAGGATCAATCGCGTTTCATAAGAGGAGAAAAATTACATTTTGATACGTCAATGCCAACACTATCATTGAAGATGTATTTGTTTAGAAAGTTAGTCTGCTTCGAATGAACTCAATATTGCAAACTTTTTTCTAGAGAAACAAATTATACATTTAATCGGAATCACTCGTTACCTTTTGCTTTTTCTCGAAGTTCTCTTGCTGCCGAAGCTGTTCAATATCTGTTTTCGTAATCTCACGAAATTTGCAGGTCGTGGGTTTATTTAGGGCCAATGTGGACCGATTGGTAAAAGTATCCCTGATTGTATGTTCAGCTGATTGTCTGTGAGTGCGTTTCTGAGGGCTAGACGAATTTGATCTCTGACGTTGTAAGTGGTAGTATTGCATTTATGTTTTTTGTTGTCAATACTGCTATGGATCAATTTCTGAATTGTATTTAAAGTCCATTTTAGGATTGGTGCACTACGATGAATAGAAGAATGTTGCCTACAAAAAAAAACACTGTTTGTGAGTGAAAACAGGAGAATAAAAGCGAGAAACAATGTTTGCCTGATAATTGTACTTACTTAATTGCCAGTATTTCGTGAAACACAATCTAAAAGGAATGTTGCAGTATCTAGAGTAGAAATTTGGAAAGTGTGGGCGTCGGAAAGTACCATCCACACGGACGCTCTACACCTTGGGAAGGTGGCTTTTAGCTGTTTCACTTTGACTGATACCGTTATTCGAGAGATCGATCTGTGTTTCTTCATCTTAAGTGAGAACAGTATCATCTTTTGTGTTTGTATCTATGTGTCATGGTATTAAAACTTACGAAAAGTAAACAACAAGAATACATTCTATTCCATCATGTTGAACATGACGAAATCAATTTTACCAAATTACCACATTCGATTATCGGTCCACACAAGAGTCCTTGAAGAAATTGATCGAGATCTAGCAATTCTCGGAAATTTCAGGATTGATCCAATACGAAATCATTCGTAATTGTCAGAAATTTCGAATGATTCTTAAGACGTATTCATTCGGAATTACTAAAAATTCTATCTAATTCCATGAACTCAATGAAATAACTCGTCCTTTGAGTTCGTATCTTCCTGAGAATTACAGAGATCGTTTGACCAGTACGATTGATTCCAGCAATGCTCAACATTGCAGAATAGGATAAGTGCTCTTGTAAGAGGCTCAACAATTTCCGCAATATTCTCTTGTTGATGAGCGCATTCGCTACATTTTTTAGCAGAAAACTTTCGACATCTACTGGTGATGAATTATTCCGCGCCATGTTTAATAACTAATGTGAAAGCAAGGAGACTGAAAAAACTGCGCAGAGTAATAAAATTATATCCGTCTCGACAGAGAATGGCGCAGACATATACGTAGTAAAATCTTACAGAACGACATTTCATCGTATTTTCTTTTTCTGTTCTTTCCTCACTCTTGGTTTTATTTAAACAAAAATTGGAAAAATAGAAAATATATAGTTGCTTCTTCGACATTTTTCTATTCTCCACACATATAAAACTTGCTAGTCATTTCTAGCAAAAAAGAAATAAAAGAACGCTCAAGTAACCGCTTAATAATTTCAGCCACAATCGGAAGACAAGTATTAACGGAGTAAAACGTAGAAATGATGAGTTTTTCATTGTTGCCATGGAGATGCCAAAAAACAATATGCGAAATGCGCTAGAATATTTGCAACATCGCGTATTTTACATATATCTCTGCATGTACTTATTTTCTGTCGGAATTGCGTTTTTTTCCATAGAAACATTATCTTCTGCTACTCAAAAATAATGACTGACAAAAAAAAACTTTTATTTGAAAAACTAACAAACTATACATTATTGAACGAGATTTTGTGCACTGATTCCGAATAGATACATCATTAGTTTCTTAACAAACAAGCCAGAGAAGATTCATATTTGAGTCTAGAAGTATTTATGGTAGCTGTGGTGATAGATGATATGCAGAAGAATACTCTGGCAAAGTTCAAATGACTTTCAAGTTGAGATAGTAAAGGCTTTTAGACTGTAGATAATAGTGTTTAACGAAAAACGGAATGAGCTGAGAATAGTGCTGACGAAAGACGAGTGATCACCTATGTAAGAAAGCGATCAAGACGAACCTTAGAAGACGAATATGCATACACTGGATACCATCTGAATTTCTTTTAAAAGCAACACATCGGATAAAAAACGTTGCACTTTCAAAGTGCTGCACGACGATAAGTTTCAAACAACATTTACCAATGATCTTCTGATTGTTACAGGTGACACCAATACACACTGTTGATTGAAGGGAATTTCCTTCTGTTTTTCTGAGTAAAAAAATGCAACGATGCAAGATATTATTATACTTTTTTTTTGACGTTTGTTTTGTCTACATGGTTTTGGATTGGCTGAAAAAGAATCCTTTTTCCAAAATGGTTTCTGAGGTTAGAAGAAAAGCCGGTCGACAAATCAAACATCGCCATTTTCCATGAAAAAGTAGTGCTATGTTTTCTTTACAATAATGGCATCGATACATTTCTTTTTCTATCTCTTACTTCCTCATGAGTTGACACAGAAAAGAAAAATGTTGTTTAGGAATAGCACTTCCACTTTCTTTTAAAAAAAGAAAGGAAAGCAAAGTTGGGTGTGTAGGTGTGGGATGTGGAGTGTGGGTGTGGCTTTGGGCTTGGATTTACTTTCTTCAACACCCATACCCCACACCCACACCCATATCCACACCCATACCCCACATCCACACCCATATCCACACCCACACCCACACCTACACCCCACCCACACTCTCAATTATCTCAATAGGTACCAATCATAATATCCATTTTTTCATTTTTCCTAGTTATACACTCTGTACGTAAAGCAGCCAATGGCTGGCGACAGCTACATCGAAAAGATGACTAAAATTTTAAAAATAAGATCTCCACTATTCAAACACATTACACGTGCCTGAGAAAGAATTCAAGCGCATGAGTAAGAATTTCAAGCAATAAAATAAGAAATTCAAGTACTTGGACTCGAAAAAGGGCCCCAAGATGTGTCCATAGCGCTTGACTTTCTTGTTCAAGAAGCTCCAGTATTTCATGCGCATTCCAAAAGATGTTTCACTCGAGTCTTCTTTTACATTCATTTTATATAAACCACATGTGATACTTTCACCATGTGTGGGTGTGGGTGTGTGGGTGTGGGTGTGGGTGTGGTGGGTGTGGGTGTGGGTGTGGGGTGGGTGTGGGTAGAGGTGTAAGCCGATAGGCTGATCGGCGGCGGCGCCAGTTTTTTAAAATTTTTTTAAAATGCTCGGCGGCGCAGATATGATATTCTAAGGTTGCACAGCGGCGGCGGCTCGAAAATTTTAAAATTTCGAATACCATCGGCGGCGCGGC